TGGGGTGGGGGGAGATCGAGCTAGGAATGCCAATATAAACAGGCTACTGATGAATCCAATCAGGAATTCAGGGTAAATGCCTTCAGCCAGAGTGTGGGGGAGAACAGGGACTGACTCCCACTGGGAGCGATTGAGGTGAATAGCAGATTTGTTGAAGGGAGTATCTGGATAAACTCTTGAGAGAAAGGAATGGAAGCATGTGATGCCTTGGTTGGCAGGGAGATATGAAGAAGGCAGTGGGAGCAATCTCGCGTGAAGCGGAAACACTGAGCAGAGGGACTGAATGGCCTGGTGCTGTGCCATGCTGTCTACATGGCCTGGTGCAGAGAGGCCAGCTGTTGAGGGATCCTGTGGGCTTATGCAGGAGCACTGAGCCTGTAATGTCCTGACTGTTGGTGCGTTCCATCCAGAAATATTCAATGAGCCAAGGATTAACCCTTGACCTGATGTCTTGGGTGGGGCAAGAACAATGGATGATCTGGGTCATGACCATATTGCTCCCTCTGGGATCTTGCTGTCTGAACACTGGCTGCTGCATCTCCAGTATTGTGTCAAAAATCACACACTAAGTTATAGTCCAGCAGGTTTTTTTGAAGACACAAGCTCACTCCACCTCCAGTATTGTGACAACCCACAAAGATGTAATTGTTGCTGAAATGGCTAAGGTTGTGAAAGGCTCCACATAAATGCAAGAGTTTTCTTTCTGACAGATACATCTAATAGAGGGGTGGCTGGGGAGGCTGAGGGAAGGGAGTGCTTGTTGACGAAGCGGGGAGAGATGGGTGTCTCGGCCCAGGAACATTTTCCAGGCACCAGCTTCTTCCCGTCGTCCACTGACAGCTGATGGAATGCATGCTGTTGGCCTCTTTTCCACTAGGGTTTTGAATTTAGTGACAGATAAAGGGTAGACGGCTCAATTAGAATCGAATAAAGGCAATGTTGTATTAGTAACTCTTTAGTTAGGAGTAAGCACACAGTCAACACGTTATCTAAGTGTTTGACTGGAATGTAGACACTACCTGTACGTGACGAACTGGTCAGATTACTTCCAGCTGAATTCCGGGTTTGCCCCTTGCGATAGTTGATCTCGAGTTAGTGCTATCAACGTCTCCAAATTTGCCTTCTTTTAAATGTTCGCTTCCTGAGTTCCAGACTGTTTGATGCAATGGCCAGCTTGTACAAGACCCTCATAATTCTGAGCTGATTTGTCCAAGGGTCGTGTAAACAGGAGACATCTGTTTCCATTGTTAGCACCACCAGACATTTGGTCTGGTCAGCAGTCAAGCTTCACTTCCCCCTTTTACAGCTGTCTCCCTGCCTTTAGCACAAGTTCCCGTCATGCTTGTTGAGATTCAAGTGTTAGCCATGGGGTTACAGTTACCCATTAGATCAGAGTGCTGAACTAAGGTTGTGGTTCTTCTGTAGCTGCACTGCAAGCGCAAGGGGCTCTTGTTGACGTTTCTGTGGATTGTGGGGAGCCCTGCATGTCGCAGGATGAACCAAAACGTCCTGGAGCCAAGGTGGGGGGAGACGGGGCTGTGGTCTTGTACATCAGTTGCTGGTAAAGTCAGTGTTGTACGTTGAGCGCTGACTGTGGGTTGAAAGCTGCTGTTGACCTAGATAAGGAGAGCCAGCTCATAGCCATCACCTCTGCTCAGGTCAAATAATCTGCCAGTACAGTCGGATCTTGTGCTGTCACCGACAATTTCTGAGGTTAATTGGAGGGCCGGTACCAAGGTAGCACTGCACTGTCTGGGGGCCCGGCGCCATGGGTACGCTACACTGTCGGGGGTGCCAGTGCTCAGGGTGCGCTGCACTGTGGGGGGTCTGGTGCTGAGGGAACAATGCACTACTGGAGGGGGAGTGCCGCACTGTCAGAGTTGCCATTGTTCTGATAAGACATTAGACGTTGACAGTCAACTTCCTTGGGTGGGCGAGAAATCCCATAGCCACCACTGGAAGAAGAACCTTGGAGATGTTCACCTGATTTCCTTGACTTGATATTTATCCTTCAACTTGTGTGAGTAATATCACATTGCAGTTTGTGGTATCCTGCTGTGCATAATCTGGCTGTCATATTTCCTGCATCACAACAGTGACTGCGCCTCGAATTTATTTTGATGGCCGTGAAACACTTGATGAGACCATAAAAGAGTTACAGAAATGCACGTCCTTGCTGTGCCTGATACCACTAGGCCCTTCCCTGCTAACTGAATTTACACTGACAATGTAGTCCCCTCCGGCCCCCCTCCGCCGCCCTTTGACTCAGTGCTGGAAACTTTGTCAAACTTCCATTTTCAGTGAAGATAGTGCTTTTGACTGAAAATATTCATTCCAACCTGTCCCCTTTCCTCATCATCCTCTCATTTCCCCTTTTGGTCCATCTCCAGCTGTGAAGAATAAATTAGGCTGAAGTGCGTCAGACATTTGCTGGGTTAGATGTGGGGGGAGTCCAAAATTAGAGGGCATAGCTTTAAGGTGAGAGGGGAAAGATTTAAAAGGGATCCAAGGGGCAACTTTTCCATCCAGAGGGTGATGCGTGTATGAAATGAGCTGCCAGAGAAAGTGGTTGAGACTGGTACAATTACAACATCTAAAAGGCATCTGGGTAGGTACATGAATAGGAAGGGTTTAGAGGGATATGGGCCAAATGCTGGCAAATGGGACTAAATTTATTTAGGATATCTGGTCTGCATGGATGTGTTGGACTGAAGGGTCTGTTTCCATGCTGTACAGCTCTATGACCCGAAATGGGAACTGAACTGAAGAAACGGTACAGACTTGATAGGTTGAAGGGCCTCCTCTACAATATGACTCTAAGTTTGAAAACTCTTGTAGTTATTTACTTGCCATTGAGTGTCCAGAACGATCTCATTTCTCTCTTGTCTCTGTTTCTCTCTGGCTCTGTCGACTCAATTCCTTGTCTTGGTCGATCTGTGCATGTCTCCCTTTTCTATGTCTGCCTCTCTCTATGCCTGTCTCTCTCGCTCTCGCTCTCGCTCTCTCGTTCAGTCCTTAAGAAATGTGTCACAAGCAACCTGACTAACCTTTCCTGGTAACTAACTAACTTCATGCTCTAAATTACAAAGGTCTGATAAAACCTGTGGAGCTTGGGTCGTATCGGAAGCTACAGGGTGAGAGTTGAGAGAAGATTATCCTCTTAATCTGAGTCCAGATATACCCTTTGATTTACTGAAAGAAACTCCAGTGCATAAATTCCCCCTGGAACTGATGGTAGAACTGTGAACTTTGCAGTAATACTTGATCAGTGTGTGGCGTCATGTTTGTAGAGATAACATCAGTGGCAGGAGTGGTTCTGTCCCTGGAACGTCCTTGTTAGGTGTGGAGGATGTTGAAAAGAACTCTGATTTGCATAGCCCTGACATCTCATCTGCCGAACTTCCTGAGCACTGTGGAAACTAAATTGCTTAGGACTTCAAATGCAGCAGCATCATTTGGGTAAATGTGTTTCAGAGAGGGAGAAGCTGACCGGAAGCCTGGGAAAAGGCTCTGATGGACCCTAATGTGCCCTGGGGAATGGGGTGGCCTCAGTGAACGTGCAGCACAGTGCTCTTGTAAGAGCAACCGGCTTGTCTTGCACTGACATCTCATGCCTGAAGTATGGGTCACATCCTGAAACCAACTGACTCACAGGAGGCAGTGGAGCTGACGTTGCTAGTTCATATGTGGGGAGATTGCCAGTAGAAATAAAGATTTCGTTTTGTAACTCAAAGTACTGTCATCTGAGTTTAGAGTCATCATATCCAAATGCCACTTTTTCGTGCACTGTTTTGTCCAGCAGCAGGCTCTATACAGGTAGTAGAGGGAGCACGTGGCCAGCTGATGAAAACTCTTTCCACCAGAACACTGCAGCTGTGTCTCAGTGGGGTGGCACTGTGTTGGAATTTTGTGGGTTTGAGCCCCTGCTCCAGAAACCTGAGCCCTATAATCCAGGGCAACACTTAGATTACCAGAGGGTCGGCGCCGCGGGAGCGCTGCACTGTCGGAGGGTCGGCGCCGCGGGAGCGCTGCACTGTCGGAGGGTCGGCGCCGCGGGAGCGCTGCACTGTCGGAGGGTCGGCGCCGAGGGAGCGCTGAACTGTCGGAGGGTCGGCGCCGAGGGAGCGCTGCACTGTCGGAGGGTC